GTAAACCAGCCGAGGGCCGACTGCTCAGAGCCAGGCGCCTCCACATGCCACCGGGCAGAGCGGAAGATGGCGCCATTGTAACAGAGCAGGCTTGGGCAGCTCCGGCCAAAACTGTGGAAGGCCTGAGCATCTCACCCCATCCTTCGGGTAACTCCCTTTTCATATTATTCATGTTTTCTCTACTCCACGGTATGGATGATTTCTTCTTCTAATTCACTCATTCTCTATTCAGCTGGTCTGTTATTTAACCTGTTTATTGTGTTTCTCATGTGTTTATTTCAATTCTAGAATTCCTACTTACTTCATTTGTTTCTTTTTCAAATCTGCCTTTTTTAAAGTAATGCCTCGCTCCTGCAGTGGATTAAATCCTTTCCCTTATCTCAGACCATCTTCAGCTCCAAGAGTCCTGTTATCAGGTTTTTTACCACTGTTGCGCCTGCCGACTTGTTCCGCGCTTGTGAATAGGCCCATTATTTTTTATTCTGGCTCATCGTGGGAGCAGTTGTCTTCCCAGAGAGCACCAGCTCCAGAGCCTGCAGTGTCCCTGTGGGGTGGCTTAGCTTTTGTTTTGTTCAGCCCTTGGAGATTCACAGGTCCCCAACCATGTTTTCAAGTTATTAAGAAACAGTTCTGCCCTTGCCAGGTGGATCAGTTGGTTGGAGCATCGATCTCTGCAGATATGCTAAAGTTGTGGGTTCGATCCCCAGTTAGGGCACATACAAGAATCACCCAATGAGCCCTGGCCAGTGTGGCTCAGGTGGTTGCTGGTATGATTCCTAGGCAGGGGCACCTGCCAGGATTGCGGCTCAATCCCCAGTAGAGGGAGTGCAGGGCACAGCCTAGTGATGTTTCCTTCTCCCTCCCTCGTTCCTCCCTTTCTCTAAAATATCAATAAAAATGTATTTTAAAAAAACAACCTATGAATGCATAAATAAGGAGAACAACAAATCAATGTCTCTCTCCCTTTCTATCTCTCTAAAAAAAATAATAATAATATTAAGAAAGAGTTCAGCCCCAGCCAGGCGTGGCTCAGCGGTTGGGCATCGACCTAGGATCCAGGAGATCGCGGTTTGATTCCTGGTCAGGGCACATCCCGGGTTGCGGGTTCGATCCCCAGTCAGGGGCGTGCAGGAAGCAGCCGATCAGTGATGACTCTCATCATTGATGTTTCACTCTCTCCCTCTCCTTTCCTCTCTCTGAAATCAATATATATTTCAAAAAACAAAGTTCAGACACACAAAAATATGAAAAAAATAAATTATATCATGAGCTCCATGGAGCTCCATGTACACCTACCTCCTCGACTGCATCACTCTCCCTACCCAACATCCCCTGGTCTTGTCACAGCCCAGGTAACTATATTGAATTTATTTATTATCTTTATTGTTGAAAGTATTACAGATGTCCCCCTTTTTTCCCCACTGCACCTACTATATTGAATTTAGCAGTTAGAAATCCTACGAGTTTCTTTCTGCTTTTACTATACTAAACTCTAATATATTGTTCAGCTGTAAATGTTTGTGGTTTTTCTTAAGCCGAGAATATTTTTTCCATTGCTTTTTCAGAGAGTGGAAGAGAGACACATCGTGAGAGAGAGACATCCAATGGTTGCCTCCTGCGCACTGCCTGACTGGGGCCAGGGATGGAGCCTGCAACTGAGGCGTGTGCCCTTGGCTGGAAGCGAACCTGGGACCCTTCAGGCTGCGGGCAGATGCTCTAACCACTGAGTCAAAATGGCCAAGATGTAAATGTTTTTAATTACGTACTACATATGCATCCTTCTGTGGTTGCCTTTTTCTTCACATTGTGAGATTAACCCAGTCATACCACCGCTGCATGGGACACACCACTGCCCTGTGGTATTACATTTTATGAATATATGATTTAACCATTTTCCAAACTACCCAAATGTTGCAGAACACAGAACATCTGGGTACTTTCCTTTTCTTCAAGGACTTTTGTGTACATTAACCCTGTATATGCATGAGTTTATTTAGGGTGTACTACCAGGAGTGAAAGTGCTGGATTTTAAAAAACTTGCCTCATATTTAAGATATTGCTGAATTGTTTTCCAAAGGAATTGTATAAAGACACATTCCCACAAAGAATGTCCAAAACAGTTTGTAAGTTTCTCGCCTCTAGGATTTACTCACAACCTAAATTACATACATATGCTCCCTTAGCGCAAGTTTGGATCTACCCCACAGGCCAAGGCTAACCCCAGCTGGCAGGAAAACTACTCCCTGAACAGCGACAGCTTCTGGCTTTATGCCTGGTGGCTAGAGCGCAGTGATGTCAGAGGTAGGAGCTAGACTGGGAGGCCCTTGTTGGATGGTCCTTGTAAAGACTGGCTTTGACTTGGATTTTACGAAGCAAGACAAGACCCAAGTCATGACTTGGAAGAAACCCTCTGGCTGCTGTATGGATAGACCACAAAGGCCCAGGGTGGAAGTCAGACCTGTTAGGCTGTTGCCATCGTGTGGGTGAGCTGTCTGGATGAGCCGATGGTGGCTCCCACCGGAGTGGAGCGGCAGGGGGTGTAAGATGCTGTCTGACTTGTTTATAAATTGGACCCAGTATGCGAGAACGAGTCAAGTGGGCTCCAAGGGTTCTGGCCTGAGCAACCGGCAGGGTGGAGGGGTCATCTGGAGAGGATGGCACTGACCAGTTCTTGAGTATTCCCTGGATGAGGCCTGGGTCGAGACAGGTTGTGGCCAAGGCCCAGGAGGCTCACTGTCTGGGTGGCTGAGCTAGCAGGCCAGTCTCTGCTCAGAGTAACTATAGAGAGCTGTGGGGAGATCTGCCCGGTGGGGTGGGAGGCCAGACTGGTTACTTCTACAGTTGCTCCACTTCTAGAACCTGGTGGGGTGAGGAAGGGTGTTTGGGGTAGTTTTATCAAATCATCAACTCTGAGGGGATGCTGTGGGGCTCAAGGATACAGAAGAGCGAAAAGTCATTTCCAAGCCTGGAATAAAGTTCACGTGACCATTTTCGCCATGGCTGTAGCTCAGTCCTATATCCCAAACTTGGTATTGGCAGAGGACCCAGGATACCAGCACCCAGGGAAGGACCATACAAAAAGGGCAACAGAACCAAGAGACCCTAGTGATAAGAAATGAAGTTGACCACGTAACAGTGAAGCCAAGGGTGAAGGAAGGGTAAGATACCGACTAGGCTATATAAGCTAATGACTAAGCTATTTGGAACATGATTGTAGCTAATAACCTAAATAGGGTTTGCTGTGTGCTAGGCGCTATTTAACAACTCTGTAAGGGTAGGCACCGTTTTATCCATTTACAAATGAGGAACTTGTGAGCGGCTAGTTAACTTAGCCAAAATTACAGCGAAGTGTTGTCTGGCTACAGAATCTTAACCAGTCCCCAATACTTCCTACGTGATCGTCACCCTAGAAAAATGCACTTATGAAAAAAAGTTGCAGAATTAGAATTAGTTCATATTTATGAAATTCAAGAAGATATAAAACCAAACATAATACCAAGGTGCAGAATAAAAAAACATAAAGGTCAGGGACCCTGGCCAGTGTGGCTGTTGGTTGGGAGCTCCTCAGGCCAACAGGGTTGCTGGTCTGATTCAGTCAGGACACATGCCCAGATTGCAGGCTAGTTCTCCAGTAGGGGGCGGCAAGAGGCAGCTGATCCATGTTTCACTCTGGAATAGTTTCTCTTTCTCCCTTTCTCTCCCTCTAAAATCAATAAAAAATCTTAAAGAAGCCACAGTTCAGCTGGGTGGTTTCCTCTGATCAGGAGAGAAAAAGGAAAACTGAGTCAAAGGCAGTTTGCTTCAATTACTGATGTTCTAAAGCTGGGTGATGGCTGGGTACACTGTTGACAAGGAAATTCGAATCCTGGTACTTCCTGTCTGTCTCTGGGCTTGAGCACCCAGAGCCTTTCCCTGGCTGTAAAGTGGACTGGTAACAGACTAGTTTGGTTCTTGCCCAAAGAACATTAGGGAGCCAAGAGGATTTTAATAAAAAATATTACCTATTTTAAGCCACCATGTTTTAGAAAACATGTTCTTTTTAAACAGGGATAATCCTAAAAGTTTTGGGCCAAAGGCTGAAGCTCAGGGAAAACCTTGATCGGAGAATAGCAAGGTCCTCTAGGAGTAAAAGGGCAATTTCAAGGAGAAAAACTAGCAAAGATTAAGAAAAACAGAAGATGGAATAAAGTCTTTGCTGATCAGTTTAAGTGGTGGGGACCAATTTAGAAATGTTCAGTAGTAAAAGAAATGCAGAAATGCAATTTTTAAAAGATGTATATAGACTGGTGATAAAAGAATCTCTCACATCAATGTCTCTCTGAAAGTCATGGAAAAATATCCTCACTCCTTGGGCGAGGATTAAAAAAAGAATGAACACCAGGAGTGACGATGACCAGCATTACTACCACCCATCTCCTGTAAAACTAACGCACTAAACTCCCCATCCCGACAACCACCAGTAGATTCTTTTAAAATACATCTAGACAACCTATGTTTTCACCAACTCATCAAAAGGCAAATTAGGTGCCTATGTCAGTATTGCTTAATCATTAAAACCCTATGCTTCCAGTACATAATCCTATGGTAGTCAATGCAGAAATCCTTAACATCAATGTTAACCTATGGCACAACCTTAGTTTTGTTCATGTGCCTATAAAGAGATACAGCTAGATGTCAACTGATTAATATTGCTTCACTGGTGGTTACTACCTTCCACATCCCTAAATCTTTTTTTAAAAAAAAAATCTTTATTGATTTCAGAGAGGGGAAGGGAGAGGGAGATAGAAACATCAATGATGAGAGTCGTCACTGATTGGCTGCCTCCTGCACGCCCCCAACTCAGGATTGAGCCTGCAACCCGGGCATGTGCCCTGACCAGGAATCGAACTGCGATCTCCTGGATGCTAAGCCAACGCTCAACCACTGAGCCACACCCAGCCAGGCATCCCTAAATCTTTTTGAACCATCTTGTTTTCAGCGAGACCAAAGAATACACTTTATTTGCTTTAATATATTTTATTGGAATCCTTTTGATAAAACCAAGTACTTGTTTAAGACAAAGTAAAGAAGTAAAAGCTAACTGATAAATTTAAGTGTCCCCACATTTCTAGGCAGTTTTTTTTCTCTGTTGACAGCTGCTCACGAGGGCTAATGATGGAAACGATGTAAGTTCCTCGGATCTGCCCAACACCAGATACAGAGTATCCTTTGTATCAGCAAAACCCTGAAATTTCACAAAAGGAACATGTATTAGAACCATACAGGCAACTGTCATTAGGAACATGAAGCTGGGCAGGCAGGGGAGTTGCCATATGGTGTAACAGGAAGGAGGCATAAGAGTGGATCAGGTGGTTTCCAATATCCTCAGAGAAATGCTCAGAGACTCTAGTCCAACCAGGTCATCACTACCACTCTGGGGCTGGGAGAAAAACCAGCAGACTCACCATAGCAGAAAGAAGGACTGTGGCTCTTCCTGTCATAGCCTGAAGTGGCAGGAACCATTAATTACCTAGGCATCCCAGGCATCTCAACAGCCCTTCTCCAACAGAAGTAACCTCAGGTTTTCAGTCTCCCAGGTGAAAACTCTGTGAAGGGGCACTGCCCCAGGCGGGGCTTCCAGAACTCATGCTTGAAAAAGGAAAACAGGACAACCAATGAGGACAAGCAGAGTTACAGCCCACCCACTGGCTCTTCGCAGAGACCCAAATATCCAGAGTTCCCCAAATGAGTCAGAACTTAACTTTTCACATCAGGACCAGCGTCAGAGACTCTAGTCTGAGAAATCATCATTCCCAATTTAGGGAGACTTGGATTGGGGAAGCCATTCTGGGAAGGGATCTAGTACATTCAAAGACATAGGGATAGGAAAGGAAAGGAGTAGGAAATAAAACTAAAACTGCATAGAATAGCTCCATGGGGGGGCCCAACATGCAGGGGACCTGACAGCAGAAAGAGCATGGGAACAAGGTGGTCTCTGAAAGGTACTTAGAGCGCTCTCACACCTAACACTCACCTTTACTCAAAAATAACACTCCGGAGGACATCCTAAAGCCCTAATGGAGATATGAAATAAGGGAATAAATGGTCAATAAGGGTTCCTGGCCATCAACTTCAACCCAGGTACTAGGGATCCCAGCCCCAGGAGGGAGGCGGTCAGCGCGCTGCGGTGATGGCGTCAGAGAGACCCTCAGAGTCACCTGGAGTCATCATCACCCCCGTCCTACCCCAGGGCGACCGCAGCCACTCCACCTCGCACAATCCACTCACCCTCCAGGCGCTGCAGACTCGCCCGAGAACCCGGGGCCTGTAAAGAAACCAATGAGTCACCAAAGGCCGGGAGGACTCTCGCCGGCCCCCCATACCCCGGACTGGGTCAGTTCCAAGCAGTGGCGTCACGGAGACGTCAGAAACTCTAGTCTGTAATGGAAATTCATCCTGCTCAGCCCGAGAGTGCCCCCCCCGCCCCAGCAGGGCCCCGGAGCACCTGCGGCGGGAAGCGGCGCTCGG